TGAACTTGCCTGGTTGACTATGCGCAGTTGTCCTTTCCCCCACCCCTTTACCTTTTCCATCCACTCCTTGGGACTGTGTTACCTGGTAACTGGAAGACCACTTCTGTACAGGATTTCACCAGACACACTTATAAATTGCATCTCAACTTTTTTTCTAAATTTTGTTTTTGATTGTGGTTGAGCCCTGTGCGGATGGTCCACCGGTTGAGACGTCCTCTGCGGTAAGTTTGGTGTTTTGCTTATAATATTGCTTGGTCATCCAGTGGACGTCTCACCAGTGTATATTTTGTGTATTTCGTTCTTTGCATTTGTGTTCTTATACGATAATATATACTCACTTTAGCTTTGTGTTCTATGTGGCCTTTTTTTTTACTGAACCGATCCACGTAGGTCATAGCTAAATATCTATTTCCTGGCCCAGACTCATGGTTGTAAACTTCTGAAAAAACTTCACCTCAACCAAAAGCCCGAAGTTGGAAATCTGCAATATGGTATATGATGTAGCATTTATTCATGTGGTTTATGTCAAAGGAGATAGCTCTGACAGTATCAAATTCTTATGGGCATTTGAAAATGGGGAAGTATAATCAATATTATATCAGAGGAAAACTATTAAATATTAGATGCACTCCATAGGAATTAAATTTAAGGTAAATTTAAGTGGCAAATAAAGGTTATAATAATGACTGGAATAACGTGTGAGTTCCTGTACAAAACGTCGTCAAAAAGGACCAAGTGATTTTTAAGTGAACACACACATCCTCCCCATAAGATACTGTTTTAAGGACATGCATTCTGAAGCCAGAAAACAATCCCATTCTTTTACAGAACTGTATACAAATGACCCTACATCCTTCTTCCGTTCACTTCAAAGTCCACTTATATACACAGTTAAAATATTAATAACTATATCATGTTCATGCTCTAACATTATTAGTAAGTCTGCATTTTCAGATCAAAGAATATCTGCTGTCCATCTTTCATGACTGATGCTGTATCCACAATGTCACAAAATACAAATATCATAAACTATGGACTTTTCATATTTCATCCCATAATTAGTAATTTCTTCCCCTAAACTCTGTGATCAAACTCTCAGTGAACAAGTTACATTAAGATCTATGATAATTGTCTAATAATAAAAATATCGGTTTACTTGACCTGTCTGTAAAAGCAAAATATTTTCTCTGAAAAGCTGGGTAGGATATAAGAGAGATTATTAACTGGTACATTTAAACTTTCATGTATTTCTTACTTCAATCACACAGTTTGATTGTGTGGCAAAGCATCTCGCCTACTGCATGACTGTAAGAAAGGTGTGTTAAATTGGCAGAACCTGATCAGCTAGTCATACCAAAAGGCCATGTGATCTTGACCCACCCCCCACCTGCTGTTTAGCCTGAGACATAATGTGCCAGTCCAGGTTCGTGGTTCGATTCCCAGACGGGATGATCCTTGAGATGAGGGGAAAACCAGGCTTTGGCATATTAATCTGGTTTATATAAACAAAGGAGGCATGATTAGACGATATTTGGTACGCCTTACTTCATCCAAATTTGAGTGATTTTATTAATTTTGGCATTGTTAATTGTATTAAATTGGAAGAGAGTGGCAACACTCAGTCGCTTGAACGTCTCTCCTCCCAACATTCCGCCTAGCGTGAACGTGACTTTAACAAAGTTTTCGCACTCATAAAAGTTGTTTACGAGGCGAAAACTTAACCCTTCCAGATGTGGAATGACCGTTGCCCTACAACCGTCGCCTCACTGCGACTGGAACCAGTGAAATTCGAATGTAGCTTTTCAGCGCGTTTCCGTCATGTGGTGACTTTTGGGGGAAGAATCGGATCGCCGTATTAAATTCAAAATTTAAGAAGAGTTACAAGTTGCGGGGGTATTTATAGCAGGATTGCTTTGGTGAGGGCTCTCAAAAGTTTTGGTTCTTCAAGTCGAGCAGACAGGTTCTGCTTGTACCTTTAAATTTCAAGTACAAAGACAACAGCCGAATCATCGCGCTGCCTTCCGATCAGAGTAATTGGTTGTACAACAGTGTGTCTCAAGACGCAATAAAGGTGGACATCTCCAAGATAACTTTGGTGTGGTCTTCAGTTCCTCAACCCCAGAGATTTCACTTCCTTCGCGCAAATGCCACTCCAACCATCACAGTCACCGTATATTCCCCGAGATTCAGAGACTCTTGCTCACCAACAAAACCTGCACCAAATATCTCTTTATGTCCTTCCGCATAACCAAATTAATATCTCAAGTTGTAACCGCACGCAAACCGGGCACGCTACTGGGTTTGATCCTGTGGTGACCAAAATAAGAAGACGAGTCGTGTGCGGAAGGGCGGTTACAATTATTAGCGCAGGGACTGAAAAGAGAATGTTAAAATGGCTTATATTCATGAACCAGTTTGTTTCCTTGCTGATCAAAAACAGCATCATTAAGTGTATTATGATGTGTTTTGTGGTTTGTTCTAATCAACTGAAGTTCATGTAAATTATATTAAAAATTCAGTTACCATCTTAAAAAAGCACAGCTTGCCCCAAATTTTAACTGGTTAATGCTGTTTAAGGAAATAATTACTGTTTATTCTGAGGATCGTATAAAACATAACACTTTCTGTGGACAAAATGTAGAGATATTTAATATTAAAGCAGGTGGTATACAGAATTACCACTGACTTTCAAAGGGTTCAACTGAGCTTCTAAAAATATCTATCAAAGCCAGGTTACAAATATAAAGAGAAGAGAGTTTCATGTGTTTCAAAACAAGTGGGAGATGCAATATTTTTTGTCCAAAGCTAGAGACAATATTACAACTGAAAACAAACATTTGGCATTTTTAAATTGTATAACATAAGGCACCATTATGAATTTCACAAGGAAACATGTTTCTAGAAAAATGGGGTAAGGTAAACTGCGGAAAATAAAATTTACATTAAAACAGCAACAGCATTTTCACATAGTTAATAAAACAGGTGAACCAACAGCAATGAAAATTATGCATTTTCTCATTTAACCCGTAAGCATACTTTTACATAAAGTCTAAATGACTGCTACAGGTTGTTCATACTGCAATCTGTAAAGGATGTGAAACTATGTCATTTTGTGAACTTGGTGGACTGCAACTCATCCAAGGAAAAGAATAAAAGCTTCAAGAACATATGTTCTATGGAAGATGAGGTGACGACAGTTCAAGACAAAAATGATACTGCCTATCTTACACGGAAGGGTTTCAGACAGTACACAAACTGTGGATTGAAAGAAAATATGATATTTTGGTGCATTCTGGAAGTTGCAAATGCTGAACAGATAAGATGAATATTTGAAGTTAGGTTTCAAACTGTATGGAGTAAAAATTTGCCACATTCATTGAACTGTTTAATTAAGATGCTAAAACAGCTGATGAAGGTCTACAAATTAAAATAATTTAAATGGAGTGTGAATAACTTAAAATTCTGAGGTTAGCATGACAAGTTTTATTATTTACCTGTGAACTTAACATGAAAAGTCAGTCATGAAAACAGACAAGTTCCTTAGGTTCAACATTAACAGACTTGCATTTGTCATCAATGATTGAAACTATCATTAGCCCATGAACAGAAACCCATCATCTGTAAGATGAGTGCAAGTAAAAAAGGTCAAGTTTTTTTTAAACATGCTGAAGTAACAGAATTAAAAATGTTAGCTTTCTATTTTGCATATTTGATAAGTTGAAACACCAAAAATGTTACAAATCTAATTTCAAAAGCTATAATTATTACAGAATTTAAACATAGGCTCTTCATCAATTATTATTCTTATTCTATCGACAAATGTTAGTAATATTAGTTAGATGAAACAAAATTGTGGCACTTGTCCAGTTCTGAATTTTAACATGCCTGCTATAAGGGCATACTGCAGATCATGTAACATGCAGCAACAACAGTGACAAAGCTGGATACTATGTCTACCACCAGTTTCACCCAGTGCTGGATTCAGATTTTATACCTCCTGTTGTCCATTTCAGACTTGGGATACAAAATCTTTTGTACTAATATTGTCTTTCAAATGTAAGAATGGAATGCATGAAATATATGGGGATACAAGTTTCTTTCTTGCAAAAATGTGGGACAGAGAATTACAAGATGAAATAGTATTACAAACTACAGAATAAATAAAGGATAGGTCTTCTCCTGATATTCTCTGATCTTTCCTCTGTAGGTGAGTCACCATAGTAAAAATGTTGAGAACTATTATTCTAGACATATCAGAATTTTGATAACACAAAATATGGGACATGAATACAGTGAAACCTCTATCCATCGTTCCCGGAACTATCGTTTTCCCGGATGCATCGTCCGTTTTGTTCGGTCCCGAATACATCCCATATAAAATAATGTTACATTTTCCCGCTTCTATCGTTCCTCGAACTATCGTTTTATCGCATCGATCGTTCAAAAATCGTAGTCCCGGCCCACAATTTTCCCGCAATGATCGTTCCTGAGAATTTAAAATGCTGGGTTTAGAGATAAATTAATACCGAAAGACGCACAATGTTTTTGGAATAAACAGTAGCGGTAACCTGTTATGTCGCCCAACCAGCACATTCTTTTGGAATGAGGGTCAGCGGTGCAGGGGTGATAGTTGGAGTGAATGGCGGTGCCCATTGTCAGAAATTTTACGATTTTAATTAGGGTGCACTCATATTTCGTTCCAGCGATGCCAGATGGCATGTGCACTGTGAATTTCTTCACAAATGCTTTTATTACAAGGACAAAGGGAAGACGACGAATGCGAGCCCGAAGCTTTGCCGAGTTTTGCCGAAGCACACGCTGCATTGGCGAAAGTGAAGTCGTTCTTTTATGCGCTTAATATTAGTGAACGTGACGAGGAAAACACTTTGAACGTGGAAAGTGCTCTGTTTGGTCTAAAACGTAAAGTTTCGACAAACCAGTTGTCCACTAAAGACTTTTTTGGTAAAAAGAAGTAACTTTGAAAGAGAAACATTGTTTTTTTAAAATTTTTAATGCTTTCCCGCATCTATCGTTTTCCCGCATTCATCGTTTTTATTTCCCACCCCCGCCGAAAACGATGCATCGAGGTTTCACTGTAACTTGTATAAGTCACCAGCATAGTGAGCAGTGTGTGAGTGTGTGTAACGCAGGAGGGGAGGCACATCCATTTAGTGTGGTTCCAGACAGCAGTAGTGCAGGCATTGGAAGTGATGGGTTGGTATGCCCATTACTGATGAACTCCTCCTCCTCTGAGTCTTGCTGTCACTGCTACTACGTCGCCATTGATGCAGTGTTTCTTGATGCCAAATTTCCTCATCCAAGGCATCCTGAAATAAGCGACAAACCAGAAATATCACCACATGCAGAAACACGACAACTATAAAAAAATAAGATTTCAGGCTTCAGTTTAACAGCCCTCTTTTGCTGCATGGTTAATGAATAGGGAACAGATGTTTAGGTATTAAAAATTTAAAAAATATTACTTTTCACGTGCCTTAAAAGTATAACAAAATAAAAAGCAGAAAACGTTTCCAAAATATAGTCTAGGATTAATTTAGGAAATTATTTATTTGATTTATTTTTAACACGAAGTAAACATGAAAAATCACCACTATCTCAAACTAAAAGTTTAGCACTGTTGTAGTGAACCATGAAAGTCATCTTGTGCATCGTAAATCTGCATTGGTAATCACAGAAGAGTGATATGTATAAAAAAATTAATGTTCCACATCATATGTGAAGTATGCTCATGTGTCAACAACCAGTCTTGCAACTTGTAACAGGCAATGTCACTAACACTCAAATATTTCTAGGTCTTCAGAATCAACTAGGTCCACCCTCTAATGGATTTAAAATCCTGAACATGACTTTAAACCCTTAAAGAATTAGTTTTAATGCATCAGCTTTCAAGCAATTGATTTTGTTCAGTTTATCTTGAATGTCATTGATTTATTCCACTGTTTCCGACAATAAGTTTGTAGAGTTTTCCAACTTTGTTATACGAGTTTCAAAGTTTTTTGAATAATACACAACAGAATCCAACCAGACTCCCCAACATATAATTGCCCGAATACGAGGGAGTGGTGTGGCTGGATCTTTCTCTTTGCAGAGCTCTATTATAGCTAGCAATTTCACAACGATTTTCTTTAAATTAGCCACTAACTTGTATACATTTGGATAAAGCACACAAATTATTTTAGAATCTGTGCAATGCATGTGTTACACAGTTAGACACCTACCATGTATCAGTTTAGGGTAGTTCACTAAGTTTTTCTGCTGTTCATTTCATGTATGGTGTAGCATCTGCAACTAGCAAAAACATGTAAAATTTCACACCATCTGGCCACAGAGTCTGCAAAACTTAATAGAAAACAGTGCTACATTTGCGTGATTTCCTGCAGAAATTTCCTAGCATGACACAAGAAACTATTTCTCTGGTAGCATTTCACTGTTTTTCAAAACCTCCATAACAACATTCGCAATCTTCTTTCCACTTGTATTACTTGGACACCCAAATATTTTCTTTCCCACATAATACTACACTTTTGTTCAATGTTTCTAAATAGCACTTAGACTTGTCTGGAGAATATGTCTAAGTATATTTAAGGATTATTTATTTTAAAAAGTGGTATATCTGCAGACACAAATGCTTTGTACAGCTTTGTTACAAAAGTGGAACATTCTGAGGATCTTGAAGAACAACTTGCGGCAGAAGTGTTATTGGGAACAGTTAATGTATAGGCCTTGACAAATTCTATTATCTATTAACGTATTGATCATAAGCAGTCATGACCAACTACATACTACAGATTGCAACGACTTCCAGTATGCTGCATATAAAACATGAAGCTGTGGAGGTATTTTATGAGTCATGATAATGTAATAAAGTTCATCATGTCTCAACACATATAGCACATGGTAGGATCATGGCTGTGCCATATTAACGTACCATTCAAGCAGTGACACTTCATCTGATGAACATATACTAAACAATTTTGACAGTTGTTTGGTATGGTTGTAAAATTAGATATCTTACGTTAAGAGATAATAACATGTAGGATTTGAGGTTTTCACAGTGGTGAGTCTGAAGATCGCTGTATTCTGGGTTGTTGCACTGTGTAGCCTGGTATATGTCCACCAACGTTTCCGAGGTCCATGCTGCCTCCATGATCGGGGCGCCCTGATGATGGAGGCAGCATGGACACATACGTGTATAAAAACAAAGGGCTTAGAAAAATATATGAACCTGAGAAGAATGAAGCGAACAATTCAGAATGGAGTACATCAACAACTTAGAATAACATATAATGAAACACTGATTAATACAAGATCACCTAGGACTACAGTGAAACCTCTATCCATCGTTCCCCGAACTATCGTTTTCCCGGATGCATAGTCGGTTTTGTTCGCTCCCTGATACATCCCGTATAAAATAATGTTACATTTTCCGGCTTCTATCGTTCCTCGAACTATCGTTTTATCGCATCAATCGTTCAAAAATCTTAGTCCTGGCCCACAATTTTTCCGCAATGATCGTTTCTGAGAAATTTAAACGAAATTTACGAGATGTTTTTAGAATTTAAAATGCTGGGTTTTGAGATAAATTAATACCGAAAGACGCACAATGTTTTTTGAATACACAGTAGCGGTAACGTGTTATGTCGCCCAACCAGCACAGAGTCTTTTGGAATGAGGGGTCAGTGGTGCAGATAGTTGGAATAAATGGTGGTGCTCATTGTCAGAAATTTTATGAGTTTAATTAGCGTGCACTCATATTTCGTTCCAGCGATGCCAGATGGCATGTGCAGTATGAATTTCTTCACAAATGCTTTTATTATAAGTACAAAGGAAAGGCGGGCGACAATTTTCATTCTTCTGGTTCATCTCTTTTCCAGTGGTTCAGTGTCTTCTACAGCTACGTTTCCTCGTGTTCGGCAGTTAATAGTATTTCCATTCTTCCTGTTATTGTTCCAGTCTATATTCTTGTTGTTGTTCCCATAAATATTTTGTTATTCCTGTTAATTATTTTGTTATTATTCCTGTACCATGTCTCGCCCAGTAAAGCAAGTCAGAACTCTTCAAGAAAGATTAAAAATCATAGAAGAAGTGGAGAAGTGTGAACTTCGCGCAGAAGCAGACTCTAAGGTCAGTGTGGATGAAGAGGAGGATGAGCATGATGGCTTTCACGAAGACTGGAATCGATTTGGCGCTGTGAAAGACGTGATTAAATTTGGTGATTACGCAGCAGTAGACAGCGAGCTTGCCACATGCGGAGTCGACACCATTGATGAGTTGTGTGAAGATCGCGAAGGGGGTGGGAGCGGTGAGGAAGAGGAAGAGGAAGACGACGAATGCGAGCCCAAAGCTGTGCCGAGTTTCGCCGAAGCACATGCTGCATTGGCAAAAGTGAAGTCGTTCTTTTATGCGCATAATATTAGTGAACGTGACGATGAAAACATTTTGAACATGGAAAGGGCTCTGTTTGGCCTAAAACGTAAAGTTTCGACAAACCAGGTGTCCATTAAACACTTTTTTGGTAAAAAGAAGTAACTTTGAAAGAGAAACATTCAGTTTTTTTTAATGCTTTCCCGCAACTATCGTTTTCCCGTATGCATCGTTTTTATTTCCCACCCCCGCCAAAAACGATGCATCGAGGTTTCACTATATTAGTAAACGCTATAAGACTGGACTGGACTGGTACTTCAGATGGCAAGAAAAAGAATGCACAGGGTCATGTCTGATACAAAGCTCTCAAATTAGTAGCACTGAACCTTTCAGTTCTACCATCAGGAAGTTAGTGAACATACACTTTTACACTTATTGAATACAACTAAATTTACAAATACCTCACCTCATCTCACTTTGTCCCTTTTGCTCCACTGCCTGAAGACTTGCTGCTGGTCTTACCCATACATTTGAAACTTCGTTGCTTAGTGAATGGAGATCTTCCTAACGAAGATGCTGAGGCATCTGAGCAGCTACCTACATCAAGCGCTGGCTCTGCAACACAAGGTGGTCAAGTGACAAACAAAAATTTTCATTTTTAAAACCCTTCATACTAAATTGTAGTATAGTACAGAACTTAAACAAACCAATGAGTTTTACCAAAATTTACTTTACTTGTGAAACACATTTTGGTTTCCTGAAGCCATCATCAGTAAGTACTTGGTTTAAAACATAGCCAATGATGATGACTTCATGAAGCCAAAATACATGCAGCAAGTAACATATATATACAACAAGCAATTGTGGTAAATGTACCTTTTGAAATATTTTTTCAGATTTATATTAGCCTTTAATAAGTGGATTACATACATACACACACATGCATACATACATACATCTGTACAAAAAAATCTACTTATTTCATTGCACAAATCACAGCATCCGGTAGTGATATGTTGGGTCACTTTATATGATGGACACACTTACTCAAAATTATTAATTATGGGATTGCTTTTGACTTCACGAGTGTGGCTACTAAGATTATGGCTGGCATGCATGCAAATGATCCACTGACCTTTTTCAGTAGGAGATCCTAAAGTAAGGCTGGACATTGATGAGCAAAGGTTCATGTGGCTTGACAAAACACTCAACATAGAAGGATATGGGGCGAGTTCCAGTTCCCCATCCTCAACAGGTAAGCACGTTTCCACCATGGCTTCCAAGCAGTTGACAAAAAGCTCTGCACTTTCCGCTGTGCAGTTACTCTGAAGCACACAAATGTTACATCAATTACTCTTATATATGAGCATGTTGTGTATTTATCCTTCCTTTATTGGCCACACATTATGGTACACATAGTCGAGCTGATTGGCAGGAATGTCCTTTTGCAGCAATGCAAATGTATTTTAATGCACCATTGACCTTTAACCCTGAAATAGCAATCACATACAAAAATATTCATCATCACTAAACTAAATCTGAACTCTTGTATCCTGAAAAGAACACATTTTGGAAACAAGGTCTGTTTTGATCCTGGTTTGAAAATGTTGGAAATACCTACTCAAATAGCTCCCTTCAAAAGAGTGACCGAGTGTAAAGACCCAAACTGACGCAACACAGTATGCATTCCCCATCTTTTCAAATGGGAACAGAAACAAATCCAGTTTCTGAAATGCTGTGTTCTTTTCAGATTACCAGACATTGGAGAAGGTACAGAAATCCAGTAATAGCAACTGTAATATACCGTCATCAGAATCCTTTAGAACTGATTTAATACAAGTGTAAATTGAAATACTGATTTTGCTTTGCTGTTATGTTCAAATTTTGAAGTATAAACAATTACCTTAGTGAAAGGACCTGCAAACCTCCAGAGACCTCCAAATCCACAGCTCTGCAAGTAATGAAGCTGTTGCTGGCTTGTGTCTTCACTAGCAATCATGTTCTGTATTATGCCCTGGACAGCGTTCAAGATTACAGGGTCATGGCATCCTGAGACCACACTGTTTATCTTGGCATCCAGGAGATTATGACTGAAAAATACATTGTGACATGATAATTCTTAACAGAGCAAAATATAACTTTAACACTTTTTATTCTTACTCACTTGCTCATTCCAAATGTACTGTACCTCAGTTATGACTTAAATAGACTACTGTGGGCTGGCTTGAGAACCTAAGAGCCATTTATAATATTAAGACTATGGCAAATTTAGTTCTAAGTTACAAAGAATCATATCATAACTTGGGGACTTCCAGTATGTATAAGACACAGTGTTCAAATGTGATCTGAACTCACCAAGTAAAATTCATTTTATCTGCCACAAACAAATCTGGTTATTCAAAAATGTCAACAAATTAAACAAATCTCCACATCTACATATGTTTATACCGTCATGACTCTGTGAGCATCATCCAAAATTGAGGTAGCATTAAAGCAGGAGAGACTTTAAGAGACGTATTCCACCCAATGTAGGGCTTCGGATATTAGCACCATTTAATTTACAGGTTCTACAAGTTATTCTAACAATACCACCTCAACAAGGCAAAACTAAGCATAGTACAGGTAGCCCTCAGTTTGCGCCAATTCAGAATAAAGACCGATTTTGAAACAAGAAAGTCAAAAATTGAAAAAAATATATTTTACTATTATTTATAACATTTTACAATGTTTCTCGTACTGCTTCTTGTACTAAATTGTAAATCTTACATTGCTGATTTTGAATAAAAAATATAAATACAGTCATCTCTGCAATTATGTATGTTTCGTTAATGCGAATTTGCTCCAATGAGATCGATGAATCGATAAAAGATGTTTGTGAAATGCAAACTTTTGCATATGCGAGTTTGCTCTTGTGCTACAGCGAAGAGGAGCGTTATGGCATCCATGAGGCCTTATCCTGAAATTTTGAAAGAAAGAAGAAATCACGACAGTCCACACTACATGCCTTCTTTAAAAGAACATGATGATCCTCAACCAGGGACATCGTCAGAGAACTAATCACGCCATCGCCGACTGTAAGTGCATAAAATATATTTTTTAAATTCCCTTTCTTTTATTTACGTTATTTCAGTGCTTTAAATGTATTGCCATTATATTACTCGTCAATGTTCGGGTGCTAGGAATGCATGTCATTCACTTCCCATTGATTTACATTATAAAATCATTCCAATTTATGCCGATTCTGATTACGCCTGTTCGTCCAGGAACACATCCCCAGCGCACCTGTACTTGGAAAACATAAACCCTAACTTATGAACAAACGTTTTGATAATATGCTGGCTGGTCAGGGTAAAAGTGTCTTCATGAAAGAAGAAAACCTGCCTGAGTGCCACTTTTAATCACCACATATCCATCACACCACATATCATCCAGAAATTTAGCAAGTTTTTCAGCATCCAACTTCTATGACATAGCCAATGGTACATGTGCATAAAATCTAGAAATCACAAACTTACATCACAGGAAACACCTTAGGGAACACAACAGACGCTTCTGCCAGATACTGATACAGGATACGTGTCTCACTTTCATCAGTCGAGTATTTTACCAATGTGGCAAGCACAGTAAGTACTAATGCTTGTGTTGAGAAATCAGTCAGCACATCAGGATCCAGGAGAACATTATTTTCATTAGACACTGACACTCGGGTACTACGATCCTGCACACAGAAAATCAAAATGGCTTTAATGACTATACCTTACTTTACTAAAGTACAAACAACAGACGAATTCACTATTTCAAATGGTTACCTTTCACAATACAAAAGAAAATGTTAATCTTAAATAAATATGTAACGAACAAAAGTTGTATATACTGCGACTTCATGTTAATTTTTAAGTTTTTAGAACTATAACTGAAAAACATAAAACAGTCTTCAGAAGATGATATATGTTTAAACCATGCATTTAAATAGAATGACCAGTTAAATGAAAATGGGTCGCCCCAATCCTCTCACCTGTATGTCTGCTCAGAGACACCCAATTTTATATGGAAAGACAGGCTTCTAGTACCACATCTATCTGTTGCTCTCCTCTACTTCTAATAACGTTTAGACAAAACCAGATTTTTAAGAAGTGTGATACAATCATCATGCCAGTAGAAATCAACCCACATTTGTGCTTCTGATTTTCTACCAACACAATGTCTGGACAAGATTATGAGGTCTAGCAACACTATCACCACTACCAGAGTAGGATTATTCTGACACTTTCTGGTAAAAAATTAAATCCGTGGCATAACAGCTCCAGAAAGCCAAAGCCAACTAGCTTGACTGCTGGCCTCACGTTCACATGCCTAAGCAGAGGTGAACTATCATCCGTGTGGTCAGCACAACGAACCCCCCCAGCCATTGCTAGCTTTCCTGGCCGGATTACGCTACCCATTGTAGCTCCCCAATTTCCTCACGATGCTGAGTTGGCACCAGTCCCATACACTGGTCAAAAGCTCATGAGAAAATTTCTTCTCCCCCGAGACTCGAAACAGCGCGCATTCTGTATCGCCGGTCCGAAGCATGCCTCAGACCGTGCGGATATGGCGTGGGACTCGACACTTTCTGGTAACAAATCTTTAAAAGAATATGCAACTGTTTGTTGATGTAATTATTTTTGTATAAAGTAAAATAACATTATGGCAGCCATAAAAATATTTTCAGTTTGATGGTTATATTTAATGACCCACTGAAGCCAGGTATGTCATGCACTTGCCTACTCATTACATGAGATATTTTTTAACTTTAATATCACACCAGGCAAATTTAACATAACCATACTTAAGAATCTATACCAGTGAACATTATACACAAAAATGGCTAATTAAATGTTTACTATACAAATACTAATTTACAGTTCTTTCTAGCCTTGCCACACAGACTGAAACATTTGCGATAAAACAGAACTTTTTAAATCTTGAGGTGAAGGATGTGGCCATGAAAATATTTAAATGTTATTATAAACACAGTATCTACACCATAATGATGCAATAAGATTTACATAATTAATTATTAAATAGTATTTGTAAATAAATGTACCAGCCTCATACTGCAATTCTGAATAATCTTTCATTTCACTGAACCTTGCAGACTTTCAAAACACCGGACATTCCTTCAGTAACATGAATGTAACTGTATCCTTGACATTACTTGTTCCATCTCACTAAGTAATAAGAATGTTTACAATTTTATGCTTCCATCCAGACAGATGCTATTAACATTTAACGTCATACTTTACAGATAAGCAGCTTAATAATGTCTACAGCTAACATGATTCCATCACGATGCCTGCATCAAATATCCAACTCAAGGGATACCAACTTTGAGTGGTCAATGGAACTGCATCAGCAGTAAGACTGACAGCTATGCTGATGGAAAAAAGTGTAGCTATGGTTAGGTCTAAGCCTTGTTAGACCAATGAAACGTAGAAGCTACACCAGTTACACAGAATGCATAACATTCAAAATTAAAGGCTAAACAATTTAACTATAAATCTCCAAACTCAGTATCTACCTACAAGTTTAAAGAAAAAAAACAGGCAACCAAACACCTTTTTTGGGGGAAAATGGTGGAAAAAGGATTTTTAAGCACATGCAGGCATTAAATTGCCTGATTCACAAAAACAAGAAAAGAATTTAATACTGTACCACAGACCATGCTGTGATGTTAGCCTAACTGTATGATTTTGATTTTGCTAAGTCGTGTTTTGTTTGGGACCAATGTAAGTTTGACCTGAGCTACTGATACACATTTTGCATAATCTTGTGATGCAGAACACTGTACTGTTTTCAGACAAAGAACTAAGGTTCTCAAAGCACTGCTGTGGGTTGTGACACCATGTGATTTTATGGGCGATTGTCTATGTTTCAGAAAGTGTAATTCCATGAAGCAGACACTGCAATGGGCACAGAATACACCTCTATGTGACAGAGAGGGAAAAAATGTCAATGTGTGTAAAGCATGTTTAAACTACTGAGCCAAGAGAATTTCATAAAGGCCAAAAAGCCAGTGTGTGGTATACCACTTTTATATTTCAGTGTGCCAATATGTTGGACTCACAAGACACACCAGTTTGTCTGATTAAACTCTTATGCCCCCCTGTAAGCACATTGAAACAAAAACACAATCATGCATACTTCTCCAGCACTACACACCATCAAAAAGTGCCACTTCAACCTGCTTTTAATTTTATTTTCAATTCTCTATGTCTGCATTAATTAGTACTGTTCATTTTAATCAACAAATACATACAAATATGTATATTTACCCACCTTTACTATTATTTATATGTGTATGTATTATCTCAGGTCACTATATTTCTAGCAGTGTAAACTATTTTGGTACCTCAAGAATATTTTTCAAATTATAATGAAGTTTGAAGCCTAAGAAGTTAGCTTAAAATTATTAGATTTTATAAAGAATGACTAGTCAGTTTCTACTGTGCATTCCTAATGGCCTTTATAACTGTGTAACAATCACAAATATTAACAACAGAACATTCACATAATTTACCATTAACATACATACATATAAAAGTATGTGACAAAACAAGATGGCTGTCTGCTGTATTAAGCAACATGTAATCTGGTACGTATAAGTTAGCTTATATTAGGGTGCATTGCACTGATAATGGAGGCAGCAAGGACCTCTGGATCACTGGTAAACTTCTACCAGACTACATAGTACTACAACCCAGGAGACAGCCATCTTTAGACTCGCCACCACAAAAACCACAAATCCTATGTGACAAAAGCCAGAATATATAAAAAGATTATTAATTTTTATATATCTCTTTACAAACATGACCTCTTCTTTCTAAGCAATAAATATTATATTTGTTCATTCAGATATTTTATGGCTCTGTCTCGATTTGTAGGTTATAGCATTAAATAAGGTAGTGTAAGATGAATATGAATGGTAATTCTGGAGGAATCAGAATTCCCCTGAAGGGACTCAGGAAAACCATAAAAAGTTAAGGCTCAGTCAGGATGAGGGGAAAAAAGCATAAAAATTGTTATTAGAAAACTGCAAGTGAAGATACTTTGGAGGCTTCCATTATAGTACGTAGTGAAGAGGTGAATTGTATTGAATTGATGAGTTGGAAGGATAAGCAGATATAAATGGTTTGTACCTAGTCAAGGAAAAGTAAATAAAACCTGAAGACAGTGCCTAGTAAAATTACTGACATGAATGATGGCAACCAAGTTTTGGATGCTTTTGCATGTCTAATGCAATGTGTATAAAGTATTAAGTTACTTCTATCATGAAGCAGACACCATTTGTCTGTGTGTATGTGCGTGTGTGCATGTATGTCTGCACTACCTGCTATTGTTTGTGTCAGTCACTTTGGAGGATTAAGAAAGGTTCAAAAGAGTTTGAATTAAGACTAGCAATTGAAAATAAAAGAGTTAATTCATATTACTCATGTTCTTTTATTACTCTAATGCATTTAAGACATAGAATATTAAGTCCCTGATAAACTTGTTTTGAAAAACTGCCTAAGTGAAAACTGAGTTCCTATAACATAACCTAACCTTAATAAATTGTGATACCTCATATGAAATGCTACATTATAAAATTAGAGAATGTTACTTCTCTATTATATTCACTTACCTTGTAAATGACAAACAGCCATTACAGAACATTGTTTACAAAGAAAAAAGCACCATTAATGTAAGCTATGAACCTTAATAAAATCATAAGATTTACACTGTATCACAATTTAAAAGTTTTATTCCATAAAACAAATCACTAAGCACCTATTAGTTTACTGAATTTTATATAACCCTATACTAGGATATAATTTGTGATTATGCATGAGTTCATATAGTGATTAGATACAAAAACTGTGAATCAACTGACATAACAGCTACCATGCAGCAAGTTCATCAACACTACATACATGCAGATACAATATGCTTGCAGATATCAAACCACATGACTACATTCATTCACAAAAATCTGGGAGTACTGCCCCATTTGGAAATATTCAGCAATATCTTAATGTTTTGAGATGTAATAAAATTAAATATGCCTACCTCATAAAAAGCATTGAAATAAAAAAGGCCAAGATCACTACACAATGTTATCCTGATATGAGACATCTTAACAGCACATGAATTAATTTACAGGCTGTATAGTCCTCTCCATAAATGTCTTATGGGCCCTTGAATATGTACTTGATCTCCCATGTCTTTCTTTTTTCATATTAAACACATCATTATTAATTTTTAAACATATACAGTGAGATTATTTTTTAGCGTCCTGCTAATCTCTGAATCTCTCAAGCAGAACAGTTACATGCTCCTCCCACAACACGGGTCCACACAGATTTGGGCTGCTAGTATGCTAATCAAACCAAAACCTTACAGCCTCAACACATTAAAAATGCAGAAATCTCCTGATTATGCATCCTTTGGTCATCAGACATTCTGTTTAATCCAATGTGCTATGTCAGAACACTCCATTTTATCAACAGCCAGCTCAGCATGTAGCAAATTGAATCACACTCCCTCACCATAAATCTTCTAAAGTTTACGTACTCAGCTGCTACAGACGTACTACTGTTCAACCACTGGCAAGACTTTGCCTCAAAGAGAAGGAAAAAGGCGCAGAAGCAAATACCCATTACAAATTCCTTTAACAAATAAACTCTCTAATTCACAAATTTACATTATGTAAGATTTTTTCATTTTACACTGCATTGTATTTCCTTTATACTTTAACATCATAAACTGAGTTATATACTGAGTTGATATTTACCCTCATCTTTTTTGTTAGTCTTCTGTATCATCCGACAACATCAATTATCCGACCATCCATTAGTCCTGTTTTTCATGCATTCCTAGTGGCTACATAAAAAGTTTACCTTCACACATTAAAGTTCTTTTTGGAAATACAGACAACTTCCCTTCACTTCTTTAATTATGCAATGGTTTAATCTGTAAACTTTCTGCCTTACATTTCACACAAGGAAAGTCACACTGATTTAGACCGAGGTAGCATGGTATGGCATCTGAGGTATTTCTGAGGAGTACATATGTACCTACCACTGTGGCCAGTGTCTCTTCAGTAGGAACTTGGCATTTTCAATTAGTAGTATTTTGTTCAGTAATGTTCCTGTCTTAATTCATTTACACTTATATGAACAGTTCTTTGATGTTGAATATAACATGGAGAATTTATATCAGAGTTAGAAACTTCTTACTTTTCTTGTAGAACCATTTTTCACATACGTATCATAAATAAGCACACATTCTGAGTTGTATCTCACACTGATATTTTGATGCAGAGAGACTGTCATCTCCACTCTGCTGACATCAGACGGATGTCAGGCGTTAAGGATCCGTTACGGCATGTGGCGAAGCAGAAGCACTGCTGGGCAGGTCACGTCGTGAGGCGAAACGACAGCAGATGGAGCACCGCCACTGAGACTTGGTACCCACGAGACAGGAAGCGTCTGCTGGGTCGGCCCCCTGCTCATTGGGCAGACTCTCTCGCCGTCGAATACAACATCAGGGATATATACGTGGCCATACTACCATACATTGGACAACCCGAGCACGCAACAGAGAGGAATGGAGGAGATACTGGGGTCAGCGCACAAGCTGAAGAACGAGTCGCCTAAGTGCTAAGAGTGAATGCTACTGCACAGCTCAAGTACAATAACAAAAATTAATGCAACCTGAAACATGGGTTTTACATAGGATTCCACCAAGCTGTAAAGCATAAGCTCGCTTTACAGTACTTGTTCCACAATATGCTGGAGCGCTTAGAAAAAACCTCACTGTACAAATAACCTATAATAATTTTTTTAAAAAACTTTCAGTTATTTTGATAACGTATGGGGAGAAAAAATCTTCTTGAACTAAGAGTATAAATGAATTTTAATATTACATATGGACTTTATATGCAACACCACTGAATCAGGCAAATCACATTAGTGGCACAAAATAAATACAGTCAATGATTGTGTTACAAAAGGCAATAAAGTAGATAGAATTTCCCTGACAGTAATTTTCTGATTAAATATTTCCAAAGTAAGAAGTGCCTACCCAGCAAATAAGAACAATGCCTCCTCTACAATCACAGCATACACTACTGCCTACCTTCACATCTGACTCATCACCCGACTTGGGCTCTTTGGTTGTTGGAACGGAGAATGAACGCTGCGTTCGGAAGAGAACTCGTGCACTCGACTAAGATGTACCAACGTTGATTGGTTGAATGATCAGTCAGTTGGATGGATTCCACCCAACACAAATGCAACAAGCAGGGGTAGAAACAGATGAAGAGAGAGAAAGATAGTAAAAAATTATCGGAAGTCAGGCAAAAACACAACCAACAGACCAAGAAAAACAGAGAAAGCTGTGGCGATATCGGCAGTGTCGTCACTGTTACCATTTTGGAAGTTGCATTAGTAAGTACTGCGACTCTTAGGTGGTAAACCACTGAAACATGAACATCACCACTACAATTTCACCTGAAAATCAGACTTTGTGAAGTACTTGAAAATAATTGCTACCTCCAGCAGTACAACTAGATTAATTCACTTTTCAAGTATACATTCCACTAGTGTTTGGAAATCAAAAGTGATTCTGCACTAAATTATTTAAGGAAATGCTGAAGTGCAGGTCTCTTGCTTCACTCAGATGAAGTACAGGCCATGGTCAAATAATAAGTAATCACTATAACCACATAAAAACATTTAAATGAAAAACATGAGCAGATACTTCACACATTGATCTTCATCTTCATATTATGGAAGAATCAACATACCAATCAAACTGCCATTCTTCTTACAGTATACTTTAAAAAAAATAGTCTAAGCTATTTGGCATGTCACAAAATTGGTGAAAAATAAATGAGATTTCAGTGTAATAAAAAGCCAAACTTCATTTGAGTATGCTGAAACCAATATTTGTCTTTACAAGTCTTGTTATAATTTGACAAAGAACATGTACTGGCAATGAATGCATATTTTTAGCCCATCTTTAGAAATTCTTAACTGTGACAATAACTGTGTTAATGACACAATGCTTGTATATTGGAGACAGCATTTTAATAAAAATATAGGAATATAACAAGCAGGCATAATAAGAACTGAGATATATGTGGAATAAAATGTTTTTAAAATGTTACAGAAATCATTATACATGAAAGAACTTGGAGGTAAAATAACAAGCAGTATTTTGTATCAATTTTGATAACCAAACACTGGGGCTGGCTCCAAGAACTAGAGTCGATATCGTGTGCACAGCAATCCTTGGAAAAGAGAGAGACATCAGTCGCAATCATGTCATTCCAATGCAAGTGAAGAAATCTTGGGTCAGCATACACCATGGGATAGATCAGTTCTTACTTTTCCTACAGGGGCAGCACCAGCCTCCACACCAGACTTGGGGGCTGGAACGGATGAAGATCGTTGAGTTCGGAACAAGGGTCTTGCACCTGAAGGTCCCCCTGGGGGAGCTGAGGGTGGGGCTTGGGGGCCCAGGTCCAGGCTGCGCCATCCCTTACTCTTACTAGCCTCCCCCCCACATGCAGCCGACTGAACCTACATACACATGGTCAGTTTATAAAACATACTTACATGGCCAGGGAATCAATACATATTTGCTACCAATTAACTTGGAGGTGTACCCCCTACAAATAATTTCTGAAATTTCTTATGCCAAACCAAATCTCACAAGATTCCACACATGGCCACAAGAGTACTGTCGTATACAGGAAAATTTTGATCAAGTCATACCTATGTCCATTAATTTTCAAAATTTGTTCATTTCCCTTTGTTGAGAAAGAACTTTTTCACCAGAGAATTTTTCAGACCATTAAACTTCCATGCACTTCATACATAACTTCTGAAATGCAATCACTACATTCCTCACTCATACGAAATGTTTTTTTTTATCATACACAGAATGCACTATTTACACTTAAACAGAATCACCACTAACTTATTTAAACTAAATTTGCACAAGGCCTAATCAAGAAGTATCAAGACTGAATCTGTAAAAACTAAAATATTGTACATACACGAATGGGAAGTTAATCCCCATCAAAGTAAGCATATACATACTTGCTCCACCATTTCTTCTATTAAACTCAATTGTTGGGATGAAGAACAGGTTCTCTGTTACTTTCACATTATCAATTTTTTAAAACATAAAAAGGTCACATGTCTGGTGAGCAGACAGGTTATCTCACATGTGAAACACTGTGTTTAGCTAAAATTCCCCTACTCTTCAGCCAAAATTATCTGACAAAAAAAAATTATACCTCCACAGCATTTCACTAACAGTAAATCTTGTCACTTTGTAGTAAATCATGCACTTGAGCTACCAATTAATAATTTCTACTGGTCAAAGAATGTTCAGGAAGCTTGTCACTTTTGACATACAACCACCCCTCTTTAAAATAGTGGAACCACTTAAAATCTCATGATCAGTTCATTGTTACATCTCCAGATGTTAAGTGCAAAAACTGATATATTTCAAGTGCCATCTTTCCAACTGTGCTAATTGTATGCACATGCACTGTTCTGTGCTCTCATATATTAAAGCAACATGTGACAAAAACAAACTGATTTTAAATACTATGAATGACTGAAGCATGAACTGGGCTACAAACACAGCTGGAGATGTGATAAGATGTCAGGACACGTTCACTGGAACTGCCTCCACGTGCATCTGAGAAACGAACTCGGTCTCAACATTTTTGATCATGTCTCATATATCTTTCCTCTCGATTCTTTATGAAGAGATTAATTTTCCTACAGGGGCAGCACCAGCCTCCACACCAGACTTGGGGGCTGGAACGGATGAAGATCGTTGAGTTCGGAACAAGGGTCTTGCACCTGAAGGTCCCCCTGGGGGAGCTGAGGGTGGGGCTTGGGGGCCCAGGTCCAGGCTGCGCCATCCCTTACTCTTACTAGCCTCCCCCCCACATGCAGCCGACTGAACCTACATACACATGGTCAGTTTATAAAACATACTTACATGGCCAGGGAATCAATACATATTTGCTACCAATTAACTTGGAGGTGTACCCCCTACAAATAATTTCTGAAATTTCTTATGCCAAACCAAATCTCACAAGATTCCACACATGGCCACAAGAGTACTGTCGTATACAGGAAAATTTTGATCAAGTCATACCTATGTCCATTAATTTTCAAAATTTGTTCATTTCCCTTTGTTGAGAAAGAACTTTTTCACCAGAGAATTTTTCAGACCATTAAACTTCCATGCACTTCATACATAACTTCTGAAATGCAATCACTACATTCCTCACTCATACGAAATGTTTTTTTTTATCATACACAGAATGCACTATTTACACTTAAACAGAATCACCACTAACTTATTTAAACTAAATTTGCACAAGGCCTAATCAAGAAGTATCAAGACTGAATCTGTAAAAACTAAAATATTGTACATACACGAATGGGAAGTTAATCCCCATCAAAGTAAGCATATACATACTTGCTCCACCATTTCTTCTATTAAACTCAATTGTTGGGATGAAGAACAGGTTCTCTGTTACTTTCACATTATCAATTTTTTAAAACATAAAAAGGTCACATGTCTGGTGAGCAGACAGGTTATCTCACATGTGAAACACTGTGTTTAGCTAAAATTCCCCTACTCTTCAGCCAAAATTATCTGACAAAAAAAAATTATACCTCCACAGCATTTCACTAACAGTAAATCTTGTCACTTTGTAGTAAATCATGCACTTGAGCTACCAATTAATAATTTCTACTGGTCAAAGAATGTTCAGGAAGCTTGTCACTTTTGACATACAACCACCCCTCTTTAAAATAGTGGAACCACTTAAAATCTCATGATCAGTTCATTGTTACATCTCCAGATGTTAAGTGCAAAAACTGATATATTTCAAGTGCCATCTTTCCAACTGTGCTAATTGTATGCACATGCACTGTTCTGTGCTCTCATATATTAAAGCAACATGTGACAAAAACAAACTGATTTTAAATACTATGAATGACTGAAGCATGAACTGGGCTACAAACACAGCTGGAGATGTGATAAGATGTCAGGACACGTTCACTGGAACTGCCTCCACGTGCATCTGAGAAACGAACTCGGTCTCAACATTTTTGATCATGTCTCATATATCTTTCCTCTCGATTCTTTATGAAGAGATTAAAATTAAGAGTATTTAACATATTTACAATAAATTAACACAAAACAGCCACTACCTTCACTGTGGTAAAAAAGAAACAAATGAATAAAACTACTGTGTGACTACTGGCCAAACAAAAATTTTAAATTTAATTACAAGCAATAAGAAGTGAAACCTTCATAAGAAGCACAAATAAACCAAATATTTGAAATAATAAGTGGTACCAACAATTAATTAATGTTGCTTGGGAACATGTATGAATCTATGCAGGTTAAAATGGAACCAGATAAGAAGAACACAAAAAGATAAATTTCCTGGTTGAGGTAGGAGTTTTAGACTAGTTAACATTCTGGGAACAAAACCATATTACAAAACAGAAGATATACAATTTTGAAAAACAGATATTCATCACATTAACTTTTGAACTACCATGCAACCTAAAACCACATATCTGAAGCAAAATATGAGAGTAATGAAATGGAAATATATACATATACACTGCCTGATCAAAAGTACCCGGACACCTATGCGAAACTGTCCTCTAAGTGTCCCTCGGATTTACTGCCCAGTAGTTGACATTCATACGGGGTGGGCCCACCCTTGGCATTTATTACAGTTCTAACTCTGCGGGGGAGACTGTCTATCAGGTGTTGGAACGTCACCGGGGGTATGGCCGACCATTCTTCCTGCAACGCTGTAGCAAGCGTAGTTAGTGATGTGGGTCGTTGGGGTCTGGCGCGCAGTCGCCTTTCTAGATCATCCCAGAGGTGTTCAATAGGATTGAGATCGGGGCTCTGGGCTGGCCAGTCCATTTCCGGAACCTTATTGTCCAAAAACCACTCACGAACAGACCCTGCTTTATGGCAGGGAGCATTGTCATGTTGAAACACACAGTTATCATCTCCGAACAGGTCTTCTACCGTAGACAACACGCAGCTGGTCAAAATGTCCTTATATCCTTCCGCCTTTAACGTGCTCTGTAGTATTACGAGAGGACCAAGTCCCTTCTATGAAAAACACCCCCACACTGTCCCCCCACCTCCGCCGAATT